GGTGAACGCTGCTCCGTTTTCTTTATTTTTTTCTGCGATGTTTATTGCGTAAGGAGAAAAAAGGAGCACGTGTTTCATTGGTCATAAACGTTAGAGATGTGTTCTAAGCGGTATTCGCACTATGCAAAAAAATGGTTGCACCGCCCCTCTAAACGTTTGGTTTCTATTACAAACTTTCTGAGCGCCACCGAAAATCCCTAAGTCTGGCAATTTGAGGACGCGTGGAAAGCGCGGGAGTACGCTACGCTCTCAAGAAAAAAAGGGTGTCAAAAGGTGTATTCTTACACCCTGTCCCATATAATACACCCCATAATTTCAATTCGACGTACAGTGCCTACAGTCGAGCACAGGGCCCGAAACTTTACGAGGGGCTTGATAGCCGTGTGGTACAACTTATTAAGATAGCTAAAGTACGTACCAAAGACCACATAAATAAAACACCGAGCTTTTACAGTAGGGCCAAGAAAACCCGGATTTTTTTTTTCGTGTTCAGTAAAACGTACATTAGCTATTTTAATAAGTTGTACCACACGGCAATCAAGCCCCTCGTAAACTTTCGGGGCCGTCTGTTTGACTGTAGAGCGCTGTATGTCGAATTGAAGTTTGGGAGTGTATTATATGGGACAAAGGGTGTAAGGATACACCTTTTGACACCCTTTTTTCTTGAGAGTGTAAAGTTAGCACACGTACAGAGGCGCAAGGCCGGCGATGCGAAGACACGAATGGCTCTAGTATCATTTGTATCTTCGCAGACAAATATACGCACAAACAGAAACGCACACGCGCATACACACGCGGGCTCACATACACACTGTAACAACCGTAAGTGTAGGACACTGAATGACAATGGTTGGGGATACAAAACTTTCCGCTGGCGGAACGACGGTCCGGTTACCGGCCTGCCTCCCGAGTCCCGACTGACTTGTCCCAGCGGCGAAACTCGCCAAACCACTTCCCTCCTCCCTCCGGCCCGGGGGACTTCGTCGCATGCGCGGTGCACGTGTTCAGGAACCGGCGGGCCCCCAAGGCCGGAGCGAGTCGAGCCCGTCTCCGCTGTGACGACGACCGGTTTTAGGGAAGGGGAGCACAGCAAGCGGCCCGCCGCGTACCACCATCGGCAACTCATTTATTTTCACGCTACAAATTCCTCCCTGTTCAGCTGAAGAGGTCCCAATCTCAGCATTAACATCCGCGACACACACCAAGAATTTCACGCACATAAATTATACACCAAAGAAAACCGCAAGCGCAGCATCTGAACACACAAGCACTTCATGCCAGAAGAAATAAGCGGCAACGGAGGACTTAGTGCACATACAATTGTCACACCTGACCCTTCCTTTGTTCAAGTCTTGCACTGCGTCGGAGTCCATGATCTGCCGGGTTTGTGGTCACTGTACTAGCACTTTCACTTTGAGCTCTCGGCGGTTCCGGAGTGTTCGGTACGTCCACGGCATCAAAGAACTCGTCCTCCGAACTTTCATCACTAGCTTGGTCAAGCCCCGCCGAGCCATCCTCCCCAATCTCACCGTCCCCGTCGGGGTCTCCCGGACGTTCGTAGTACGGTTTTAGCCGTGCCACGTTCACGATGTCCTTCCGGCGCCCGGTGCGGTCGACGATTTCCCAGTTGTTCGCTCCGGTCTGGCGCAGCAGTCTGAAGGGTCCATGGAAAGGGTGCAGGAACTTCGTGGTCCGATTGCGTTTGCGGATGGGCGTCCGAATGTAGACCAGGTCTCCTGTGCGAAAAGTGGCCTCCCTTCTGCTGACGTCATACCTCTGTTTGTTCTTCCGCTGTGCTTCCAGCTCACGAGTGGAAACAAGCTCTCTGGCTCTTTGCCACCTCTGCAGCACCTCTTGGTTGCTCGGGGCCCGCACCTCGTCGGACTGTACTCCTAGTGCCGCATCAAGGGGTAGCGTTGCCTCTCGTCCGTGCAAAAGGAAGAAGGGCGTGAACTTCGTCGTGTCATGCACAGAGGTATTGTAGGCAAAGGTCGCGTATGGCAGAAAACGGTCCCAGTCCCGATGATCAGCCGACACGTACATGCTTATCATGTGCGAGAGAGTGCGGTTAAATCTCTCGCACAACCCATTCGTCTGCGGGTGGTAGGCAGCGGTCCGGTGGTGATTCGTGGCGGTCAATCGGAAGAGCTCTTCTATCATATCCGCAACGAAGTGCCTTCCCCTGTCGGTGATCAGGCTTAGAGGAGCTCCGTGTCGAAGCACGACGCGCTCCAAAAAGTGTGTTGCGGCGCTTGCCGCTGTCGCATCGGGAGTTGCGACCGCCTCCGCCCATTTGGTATGGTAGTCCGTGATGACGAGAACGTAGCGATTGCCATCAGTCGTCCTGGTAAGGGGCCCCAGAAAGTCCATCCCTACCTGCTGAAATGGCTTGGGGCTGGGGGGTATCGGCTGCAGCTTTCCTGCAGTCATCAAGGGTGGCGTCTTCTTCGTCTGACAATCAGGGCATGACCGCACATGGCTGCGCACGGCTCGAAACATCCTCGGCCAGTAATACCTCTGGCGCACTCTCTCCCAGGTTCTCTTGACTCCCAAATGCCCGCTGGTCAAATCATCGTGGCACGATAACAAGACTTCTTTACGTAGCTGGCGGGGGACAGCCAAGGCTGACTGGAACTTCTCGAACCCTCTTGCCCGGCGATACAGTGCTCCATCGAGGAGGTGAAAGGCCCGGGCAACGCGCTTGGTTTTCGCTGCGACGGGTGCCTCCGGCTCTTCGAGGTGGTCGATGAGCGTCTTGAAAAAACCATCCTCTCTTTGCATTTTTGGCACGTCGATTTCTCGCAAGGCCAGCAGCGGGTGCTCGCTCTCATCGTCGTTGGTCTGCTGCTCTACTGGTAGTCGTGAGAGAGCGTCGGCGTTCATGTTCTTTCTGCCCGGGCGGTGCGTCACGGTTGCGTTGTATTCCTGCAGCAAAATACTCCATCGGACGAGTCTTCCGTTAGGATTTTTGGCATTCATTAGCCACGTCAGGCTAGACTGATCCGTGATAATCGTAAAATGGCTTCCGAAAATATACGGCCTAAACTGTCGGCAGGCGTACACAACCGCGAGGCACTCCTGTTCCACCGTAGAGTAGTTCTGCTCCGCTCGATTGAGATGTCGACTCACGTACGCCACCACCCTCTCCTGGCCGTCCTTTCTCTGAACGAGGACCGCGCCGATCCCATACCCACAGGCGTCGGTGTGAACCTCAGTGGGCAAGTCTGGATCGAAGTGACACAAAATGGGAGCCGTGGTCAAGCACCTCTTCAGAGCCTCGAATGCCCGATTGCAGTCATCATCCCAATGGAAAGTGACCTGCTTTCGCGTGAGGTCGGTGAGGGGTCTAGCGATGTTTGCGAAGGCACGTATGAATCGTCTGTAGTAATTGCAGAGGCCGAGAAAACTCTGTACGTCGCGCCTTGACCTCGGCACTCGAAAGTCGCTCACAGCTCTCAGCTTCTCAGGATCAGGTCGAACAGTCACTCCGTTGATCACATGTCCGAGGTATCGAATCTCCTCGGCACCAAATGTGCATTTGGAGGGCTGTAGGCGCAAGTTGGCCCCGTGGAGGGACCCGAAGACGTCCCGAAGATCACACAGGTGCTGCTCGATCGTCCTGGAGTAGACCACGATATCGTCCAGATATGCGAGGCACACCCTCCACAGCATTGTCGACAGGACTTTGTTTATCATGCGTTGGAAGGTGGCCGGTGCATTGCAGAGCCCGAATGGGACTACATTGAACTCGTACAAGCCTGAACTGCACGAAAACGCCGTCTTCTCCTTGTCCTTTTCATCGATGGCGACCTGCCAATATCCGCTGGCCAAGTCAAGCGTCGTGAAGTACCTTGCTCCCTGCAGGGCGTCAACAATGTCGTCGGTCCTTGGCAACGGGTGAACATCTTTCTTGGTGAGCTCATTCACTCGTCGAAAATCAACGCAAAACCTCCAGGTATCATTCCGCTTTTTGACGAGTACCACTGGTGATGACCAAGGGCTGGACGATTCGCGAATCACGCCGTTCCCGAGCATCTCGTAGACTTGCTCCTGGATCACAGTTCGCTCATACGGGGAGTGCCGGTACGGGTTCTGTCGAAGTGGGGTCGCGCTGCCTGTGTCGATGCCATGAGTCACGACATGAGTCCTTCCAGGCGGAGAATCAGGCGATGCGAAGAGATGACTGTACTCACTCACAAGATTCTGCAGGCGTTCTCTTTCGCTTGGCTCCAAGGTCTCTCCGAACGACACGCCTTCCCTGGCTCCAGGTGTCTCCGAGGTCAGTGGAGCGGCGACGCCCAGCTGAACATCCGCGATAGGGATCGCGTTTCCCATTTTTGTGCCCTTGGCAATAAAAAGCTCAGAACCGCCAGGATTGGCCACTCGCACGCATCCGATACCTCCGGAAAGTTCAGTGATGGTACGAGCAATCACTGGACGCTGTTTAGAGTGGTTGCCAGTCACAGGTTCAATCACGGCCAGTCCGTTCATGTCAGCTCTCACCGACACCACGGCCTCAGAGCGTGGCGGTATGCAAACCTCTTCGCAGCAGTATACGGTCGCGTCTCCTGTAGTGGTAGATTCGTGACCGGTAAGCCCGAACTTTTGTCCCAGCAAATAAATGCACTTGTCAGGGAAATCCAGTACCACGCCCGCAGTGCGACAAAATGGCAGGCCGCATAGCACGTCGTAGTCAAACCCTTCGATTACGAGGAAACGCTCCCAAAGCTTGTTGACCCCGACTGTTATCTCAAGTTCAACTTCGCCTCGCGGCACTATAACTGCGCCGCTGATCACCCTCACACTTATACCCGAGGGGCTGCACTTCAAAGGGGCCTTGATCGTGTTGAGAAATCTTCTCGAAATCACATTAACTGCCGATCCCGTGTCGAGAATGAGAGACGTCTTCTCGCCATGCACTGTTGCCGGCAGCATAGCCAGGTGGCTCTTTGCGAGAGTCGCGAGAAGTGGCTCACCCTTTGCTTCCCCGGGAGGCGGCCTTAGTCCCGGGCGGGTCCGTTTCCCGACTGAACGTCGCGTCTTGGGCAGCTCCTCTGGATATGTCCGACTCTTCCGCATTTAAAGCAGATAGGCTGTCCGTTGGCGGCGCGTGTCGTGCGCGCGGGGAATGTGGGCCTTCTGGCATTGTACTCGGTGAGCGGTCTAAGCACTTCGGTCAGAGTTTTGAAGAAGTTGCCCACCTCCGATTGCAGATGTGGCGACGACGTAACCTCAGGCGGTGGCGCAGACGGCTGTTGGTAGAAGCCCGGTGCTGTCATCCCTTGTGGCGTTGCTCCTTGGGGGTCCGAGAAAGCTTGGCTGGCTCGTACCTCCTGACTCGCGTGTTGCGACGGCCGAGTGTTAAATCCCGGCAGTGGATGGGACGGCATAGCCCACATATTATGTTTGGCCATCTCGGTTGCTTGGGTCAGACGCTGGAGTGTGCCGAGGAAGTCGGCCGTGGTCTGCGGGTTGGCCAGAACGACTCGTTCCAGCATTTCTGGCCTGAGGCCGCGGGTCAGCTGTCGGAGCTTTTCCTCCTCTGTCATGGCCTCGTTGACTCGAGCGCAGAGCTGGAGTACATCGTAGAAGTACTCTTCCGGTAGCTCCGACGGCAGCTGGAACCGCTGGCTGAGCCGCAGATGGGCCCACTCCCGCATGCTGCGGTTCCCGAAGGTCTCCTTGAGCGCTGCCTTCCACGTTTCCCAGGTAGTTGGTGCGTTGGTCCCTCGCAGTGTCGTGGAGTACCATTTTCGAGCATTTCCCTCAAGAGCAACGCACAGGTACTGCTCACGGCGCGTTCCGTCCCAACCGTTGAAATCCCCTGCCCGCTCGTAGAACAGCAGCCAGTCGCTGACGTCATCTTCCGGATTGCCTTGAAACACCGGTGGCGTAAACATAGACCTGAACGCCGCAGCTCCCGGTGTTCCGGCTTCTGGGGGGGTCTGGTTCGTGGCCATCGCCGCCGTGTTGATGATCCTCCCGCTCCGCAGAACCCGGGAGTCGGCCGCTCCTTCTAGGCCGTCCGTGGTGTCGATGGCGTCGACTGAAGGCGCCCCACCAGCTCTGAAACCGCTGTCATATCGTAGAGTTTGGACCTACCCCGCATCTCCACCACTTGTAACAACCGTAAGTGTAGGACACTGAATGACAATGGTTGGGGATACAAAACTTTCCGCTGGCGGAACGACGGTCCGGTTACCGGCCTGCCTCCCGAGTCCCGACTGCCTTGTCCCAGCGGCGAAACTCGCCAAACCACTTCCCTCCTCCCTCCGGCCCGGGGGACTTCGTCGCATGCGCGGTGCACGTGTTCAGGAACCGGCGGGCCCCCAAGGCCGGAGCGAGTCGAGCCCGTCTCCGCTGTGACGACGACCGGTTTTAGGGAAGGGGAGCACAGCAAGCGGCCCGCCGCGTACCACCATCGGCAACTCATTTATTTTCACGCTACAACACGAATAGGCACTCACATGCGTATTCGCAGACAGGAGCGCGCGGACACACACACACATACATATCTGAGCGGAATCGCGGAAACACAAATGATCAAAACAGAACAAAATGAATGTTGACACCATAATTCGCATTGTCAGATAATCCCCCTCCTTTTCTTCCTCCGCGCAAAGGTTTAGTATTCTCTCATAAGCATGACCTATTTATACGTGATGGCAGTGCTTCAACTCAATACATTTGTTGGTTTTGAGGGCTGTACATATTAACAAAGCGTTATTACCTTGTCTTAAAGTTTGTTTTTATTATTATTATGTCCTCGGGGGGGTGCTCACAAATGGACGGCGGGCGCGGTTCGCTCAGGGAAGAACGGAGGGGGTGGAGTAAGGGTGTGTGCGTGCGTGTGTGTGGGTGGAAGAGGGGGGGGGGTTAGAAGGTCAGGTTAAACAATTTTGAAGGAAAGGAGGGCAGGAGAGGAGAAAGCAGACGGAATGCCGGAGAGCAGAGGAGGAAACCTCCTCTTCAGCATTCCGTCTGTTTCCGCCTCCCCAGCCAGAAAACTTTTACGTTTTGGTCATTCTGCAGGGGCTGTAAGCTCTCTCGGACAGCGACGGGCGGAAGGCCCCTACAGGGGCCTTAGACGGGCGGGGTGAGGGAGAAGGAGGGGAACGTTGTCTCCACGATATTTCTTGGGAAGCGTGGACGCAGAAGAAAGATGCCGCGGAAAGATGATCCTAATCCTTTTGAAGAGAGGCTGTCAAAATGAGTGCCCCTCGACCGATTTACGCACACCCCGACCAGAAAAAGCTCCGTCTCAACGGCACTCCGCTTGCGGTGGACGTTGCGAGCAATCCCAGCAAATCCAGCACCGTGTCACGTGACCATCTGGTTGAGCGAAGAGTTGGGAGAGGCACGCGGAGCTCAAGATCACACGGCACGAGTGCTGGATTGGCTGGGATGGCTCGTATCGTCCGCTGCGCTCGGACTGATGGTGGAGCGCAAAGGTGACCACGTGATCACGCTCTCTGTGCCAACTGCGCGCAGAAAGTGGGGTCACGACAAAAAACTGGATATAGATTGCTGCCGCAGACGCAATCTCCAACGCCCTGTCCTTTCTTTTGGACGAGCTCGAAGATCACGAAAGTGAATGCAAATACTAGTTTGCACACACATAAGAAATCTTGCGAGATATTACTACTTATTATATTTGTTAGCTATTTACAGTTTTGGTGTGCAACGTCCATTCTTTGTTAGATCATTCGAGGAAAAATTATGAGGTAGCCTGATTAATAAATTTGATGTTTTTTCGTAAAGCTGCTCTCAACATATTTTAATTCTTGTCTTAGTCTTCGGGCTCATAGAGTGATTCGCTATGTTTCGACTTCTGAATATGAGGACATAAACGATCACGGAAATAAAGAGACAGAAAGAAAGCTTACAATTTTCGGTACATCCTAATTGGTCCAGACAACTGCATTTATATATATAGATATGTAGATATTTTTAGCTTCTGCGTGAGCCGCATAAAGAATTTGGTTTAGTTGGAGTAGGCAGCTCGAAATTAGATGGCCACTCAAGTGACGCCTGATCTCTAACACATCCCTCCCCCCCCCCTTCCTTTTACGCTGTGTAAGGGGGATTTAGCCAATGCACTTTGTATTTGTTTTTATGTGCCATTTAATTTTGGGGTGGCAGGGACCAAAGGTGCATTAAAACACCTGAACCAGGTCCCGTACCCCATACAGGTTTCAGAGCGGCGCAGCTCTTACAAGGAAACACACAGTATATGTACAAATGAAACACAAGAACAAAGCAAAAAGGAACAAGAAATATGTACATTTCTAACACAATGAAATGTCTGTCAGCATTTATACACAATATTTTATATATGCTCGAAATATAATTCCTTATTCTTTTTTTAAATATATCTGCAGGTCTTGATTTAGTTTCTATATCGGGAATTTGTGGATGCATATTTAAAACTCGTGTTAATTGCTGCTTTAATGTTTGTTCACCATAATAAGTACGTATTTGGCCTCTATCATATTCCATACGTCTCAAGTTGTATTGGGTGTTTTTTAAGGGAAATTGAGTAACAAAGGACTCCGTATTGTTTTTAAGAAAATTGAAGATTACTTTTGCAAAGTTGGAAAATATTAACTGTTGGATAGTGAATAAATTATGCTCAAAATAAATGTATGTGTGATCAATCATTATAGCACAAGCATGCTATAGGCCGAATTGCTTTTTTTTCTAGATTAAAAGTAGTACAGCTGTTACCTTGGGGTCCCTGACATTTTCAGTCCGAGGACGTCGGAAGCTTTCAGCCAGTTCAGCGCTGCGAGAGTATCACGTGATCATCTAGTTGGGCGGAGCGACACGTGAAGCTTTAGATCACATGACACTTTATCACGCTGGATTGGCTTGGACTACTCGTAGCGTCCGCTACGCTCGAACTGAAGGTGAAACGGACTAATGATGTATGCCGCTATGATGCTTACGCACAACGAAACAAGCAGGGATAAAGATTAAATCCGGAATTCTTGGGTTGTGCAGCGCGAGCTTTCACTCCATGTGCACTAGCTGCGACTTGTTAGGACATTGGGTCAACTCACGCCAGCGCATAGAAATGGCGTAGCCCGACGTACGTCCTGCTTGCAATGTCAAAGCTGCTGACGTGAGCACATGGAACTTATGATGAGGCCATGCGCTCGCAGCAGCAGCTTGGATAGCGTTTGACAGTAAACTCTTCACAATCACAAGTAGACATTGAGGCACTCTAGTCACGCATAGAGTGCCTTCATACAGATGCGCTGGTATGGTCATTTTCTATGTTTTTAGCAAGTGCACGCACCCCGGCGCCTCCCGGCGCGAGCGCTCAGCTTTGGCCAGACCTTTGAAGCCATTCCTTTACCCAAGGTTAACTTATGTGTTTTCTTCGGCACGCGCCGGTGGCACTGGGTAAACAAAAGATGTTTCCACCCTTTCACAGACAGATATCGAGTCACACATTCAGAGCAGCGCTACCTGAGTGCTGAATCGACATTACAAACCGGGGTAATCCTGCTTTATATGAAGCGTAAAAAGTAAAAAAACAAACAAAAAACATTGACAGAGCGACTTTGAACACAAGACACGGGACACGAATGAGGCGGTGGCTCGGGGTCGCAGCAGCTCTGAGCTAGCGTTGCGCTCTATTTGTGAAAATGACCTAAGAATCTGGCCACTGCCACGTCTCTGTTCGTAAAAAAGGATTACCTTCCCACGCATGGCACACGGGCTTGCGCGCGTAGTAAACCGAAAGTGCGTTTTATTTTCGGTACACTCTGGTTGTGGGACTACATGGCCACATACGATTGTTCTAATATCAATGTAATGTCATATGGCACAAGCAAGTTCGGGATTCACATTAAGAGAATCGCCGTGCCTGCCAGTTCGCTTCTTTGTATGATCTTGCGCGAGCTGCGTGCATGATACATCCTCTAACACATAACTCGCACAAATGCTCTCCAAGCATATGGTTACTATTCGTGATGTCATGAATTTTGTCGTAATGTCACTTTTGAATTGCGAAGCCGGTTCTATGATTCCTATATAGCACGGCTTGTTTTCATCACCCACTCAACACGACAACGTCGGAGTGTACAGCCAAATACTCTTATTTCTGTCGATGATGCTCTGTTTGAATTTGTGGCTAAGATCAAATTGAAGGCTGGAGGCGATTGCTTTCGGGCGCTCTGCCTGCGGGTGTTGTGACTTTAGGCGTCATAGTCGCTAAAACTCTTGGAAATGTGACAGTTTACGTTTCACTAATGACATCGCAGCGACGCTTTTGGTCGCGCATGCATTTTTTGTTTCGAATCTATTCGAAACTTCAGAGCTAATCGAAATGTCGAACAAGCTTCTGTCTCTTAAAAGTAATCATAACCATGTTTTTTTTATCTTTCTTTCGGCATCATTGGCTTGCATCAACGAATAAATGGAGTGCAGGGAATGCTTTTGTAGTCCATGCATTATTCTTCAAGGTGACGTGAGGATTGGCCGTCAGGCGCAGAGATTCTATTGATTACGTCCACGCGCTTGACTGAGCGAATAGGCGCCTGGACGGCTCTACGCCTGACGCGAACCCAGGAGAAACTTCCTAGTCGTAAGTGCAAGACGCGCTTCCACGAATTACCAGAAAAACTCAACTCGCAGCTCCATAACGTATCAAAGGAAGAGTAACTCGAAATTAACTTTTACCTTTTGCATGAGACAGGTTTGATTATATGCTAGTCCTAAGCAACGACCGGACCGATTGTTTGAACCTATTCGGTTGTTTGTTTGTTTGCGATTGTTTGAACCTACACTGAGGCAACACGACGGCAACAGCAACACAACACGTTGTCCAACAGTCGGGCAACTTGTTGCTCGCTCCCCGTGTTGTCCAACAAAGCTGTCACACCGCGGCAACAGCACGACAACATGGACGACAACTAAAATGTTGCCTCGGTATGACAGCTTTCGGCAACAA